TAATCATAAATAAAAATCAACATTTTCTGCAGCAAGATTTCCCTAGCATTCAGTTTAAGACAGTCCAACTTGGAAAAAAACCATGAAAGAAACTGAGAAGGGATTTTGCAGATTCATTTATGATGGATCCTGTGTGTAATTTAAGTTACACACTTCGTACTCTGTGGTTTTCAAATGTCTTTCCCAACATTAGTCTGACTCCTTTAGAAGTCTGTCATAACAATTTGTAGGGTGCATAACAGCAAACTTGCTCTATGTATACCATTCATAGCAGAGCAAGAGAAACCCATTTCTTAATAATCCATCAATACAAAAAGATGGCAAAGAATTCACAGCAGTTGTTTGATAAGTGAGGCATGCTGATTTCAAATTATATACAATTTTGTAATATGTTGAGGGACCATAAAAAGACTGTCTTTTGTTACAATGAGAGAGAAGGAAGGATTTCTTCACACTGATGAAACCAGTGCCACTTTATCAGAGATATTCAGGTATTAAATCCACTTTTTCCATCACAGTTTAACAAGAACTTCTTTTTTTAAACCAGAGAAGGAACCAAACTCTACTGCATGGTAGAACTTAAAATATAGCAGAATTTACTGTGAGATCTTCTAAAATGAAGACGACAATATTAATAAAACAGTTCTGCACATTTACGGTACTAATAAAGTCCAGCATTTCTAAACCCACTTCTAACATCTTCATTGTATGCTGTGAATACTTAAAGACTAAATTATAATTGAATACAAAGTATTTTTTAAGTGTATCTCAGTGCACACAAGTTTATACATACATACTCACACACTTAAAATTCTCAGTCAAGACTTTCTGACATATTTTACATTTCTAGAGAGAATATGCTCCTATAATACATCCTGAAATAAGGAATATTTCACATTTATTCCCAACTGCTTATTGTAGCCAGTCAGGCTATTTTCAAGCCTCAGTAAGAACTTTTCAGTAAGAAATTTTACACTTTTATAATTCTGCATTTTTAAATTTCAGGCAAAGGAACACTCTAGAATGATCAGCTGCTGGACTAAAGGCAGCCTTGTGGATAAAGATAAGACCCACTAGAAACTCAGAACACTTGGAAACTTTACTCTTGCATCACCACCTAATTACCATCAGTCACTATCGCATAGTGAGGCAGCCACAGATGAACCAAGAGTATCATGTGCCTCTGAATAACTCAGAAAATTATTTTTGCAATATACTCTTAGGTGGCCTAGGTACCTTCTCCTCCACTACTTTCTCAGCACTGCTCGTCACGCTATTCCTTTTGCTCATTTTCTTTCCTTTTCTCCCTTGGTAAAACTTACCACTGATATTCCTCTCTCTTACTAATTTGGTATTTTGCCATCCTCCTCTTACATCCCCATAAACAAAACAAATCCAACCCAAACAAAGCCACATACTAGTTATCAGATTATTTACTTCAATGTTTTACTACTATTCTTCATTAGTTTGCATCTCTAATGTAGTGCCTGAGACATGGAATACTGTTTTAGAAGCTCGCATGGTGGGAACTTGAATCATGTTTTGAAACCTATGGTAATACAGGAATATCAGCATTAAATAAAAATTAACCAGTAATAAAAAACCCTCAAAATTTCAGTTATAATCAGATCATAAAAGAATCCCTGTACGCCGCCAGGTGCTCTAGTTAAGAGGCTCTTCAATCAAGGAAGCACAATCTTTATTTTGCCATAGCTGCCTATAAATCCAAAAGGGAGATGTAAACATACATACACTAGACTAAACAATGGCTAAATAGCAGCCACTATTCACTCTCCCACTCACACATACCATGCAAGTCTGTGGGAAAAACTTACGATTGAAGCTAAGGAACTCAAGTAAAGTTTTCTGAAAATAACCCAGAGCTGACAAGTCAGTAGGAGGGCCTGGATGGTTTCAAGACACAGTTTTTAACCAAGACTTGGACCTCCAACTGGGTTTTTTTTTGTGCTTTTTCTTTTTTTAAACAAAGATTTACATCCCATCCTTGGCTAAATTACTTATAACTTAATCAAATTAATTACTGACTGGATAAGCAAGACACTGGACAAGAGAGTGAATGTCAGCCAGCCAATACCATCTATGTTGTTTTAAACAAACGCATCAGTGCTGGTTTTAACAGCTCTGTAGGGCACAAACACATTAAAAGACTTAAAAAATATTTCTCCCAGAACACTGAATAATATATGCATGTACATTTTGAGATTTTGGTTTTCTAGATTGTAACAGAGATTATCAGCCGCTGAAAATGACATTTCTGCCAGCTTGGATTTTTGTTTTGATACATTGTTTCTTGCACTCAGACAGGTACTGAATTTAGCATCTAAGATCTCTGTGAGCATGTATGCAAATTTGTGTAAACGGTTTGATAGCTCTCAGAAATAATGCTCACATACATAAAATCTATGGAAGTCTAATTTGTGCAGCATTGAGATCTCCCAGTCAGCAAACTTTGAAAGTCAATTTTTGAAACCTCTGGAAATGAAAAAACCTACCTGGGTACATAGATACATAGCTAAGTTGTTAACATTTTTTGTGTTCCTAAAGCTGAACAGGGGTATAAGAAATGAAGAACAAATACAGACTTGCACTGAGTAACAAAGAGGGAAGAAAAGTAAGCTAGGTGAAGTCTACTTTCATTCAGCTTTACAAACCGTGTTTAAACTGAACTAACTCTGTTTTTTGTTAAGCACAGGTAAGCATGATGTATATATGTCCTCATGTACTTGAGATCTTTTTCTTGTTACCACTGGCACTGTGTTTAGCATTCAAAATCCTAGACATGTAGAAGTTTAGAGCATTTTCTATTCACAGCCCCATACTTCTCTAAGTTATGTAGTGCATATCTCATATTCTGCAAAATATAAAACCGTCACAGATGTGTGCTAAGAACTAGTTCCAAAGTAAAAAGAAACTTTTTAATTAAGGAAACATTGACTTTTGTGGTTGCAAATCAGAAGAGCGTTTTACTAAATGCTTAGCCTGTAGATTATGCTTCTTTAATTCACGAATTGACTGTACTAGGTCACCTTTGAGTAATGGAAATCTCTGTTTAAACATTTTTTTGGCAATGGGCACAAAGCATTAGATCTCATTTCCAAGACTTACCAGCTGGGTTTTGTCATTAACATTTATTAACAATCTAAGATATGGCTTTCAGTGTCTAATCCTCACTACACAAATGTTTTGTATAGTTCTCTAGAGAGCTTTGGTGTGACAAATTACTGGCACAGATTACAGCCCTGTGGTTATTCACCAGAGGCAATGCAAAATTAACATGGTACTAATCCAATTTAAACAAGAAATTGGTCAAACTATGCACAATTGCACAAATCATCTGAACTAAAGCAAATCTAGAATTCCTGAAGCAACAGTTTCCAAGTTTATATTTAAAACACAGTAAATGGTTTTTGATCAGCTCTGCTTCAACTTTTATTTGGCTCTTTAAAGTCACTTAAATCCTTTATCAATAGACTAAGTATAAGATGAAGCACAGGAGTATAAAACCCACAAGAAACTACTTTGGAAAGGTTTGTTCTGTAGTAGAAAAGTTTCAGGTATTCACTGTATATGCCATCTTATTTTATGATGCAGACTTTCAGCAAGAGGGTCAGCTGAAGCCATCTACATATGTTACTAAATTCAGATCGCCAGGTCTAGGGTGATGAAATTTATAATAAAAACCTGATATTGATATACACTAGTGTTAACCTGGCAAGCAACAATCTTTTCTTTTATTCTACACGAATTTTTAAATATGGCAGTAAGAAAAAATAGCCTGGACATTTCATGGCTGCTGAAGAAATCTTAATCAGAGAGATAAGATTTATGTTCTTCCTCCTACCATCTTGTCAAGAATAGATGTGTCAGAAATTGGAGAGGAGAATTAATGACTCCTTTTATCATTAGGCAAAAAAGGACCAATTTGAAAACAGCAAATACAGATGAGTTTTTAATTATTAATAGTGATTATACAGCACATTCACTCTGTTCAAAAAGAAATACAGATTTTAAATAATTATCAATTAGGAGAGGGTGGGCCTACCTTCTTCCTCTCCAAAAACTGAACACTCTAGCAGTAGGAATGAAGTAGGAACTATAATCCTCAAAAAAAATACTTTTCCTCAAGCAGAAAGAAGGTGTGAATACAGGTAATAAAAACCTTTTACTAAACTTGAATTCTGAAGCTTTATGTCTGTGTCAACAGGGATTAATGATTTACTAATTTGTTTGTCAAGGCCAATGGAAATGCTTGCCATTCTTAAGTATACTGTTTAGCTAATGTTTACTGTAATTCATAAAAGACAGGCAATGATAAAAAACCATAGACGTATATGGATTCAGTGAGGATGAAGCTGTTACTTCTGCAAGTTTGAACAGAGTATTTTCAAGTCATATGTGTATGACTATATACATATACACACACACAAGCTGTGTTAAAACACAGCAGTGAAAAAGCATGTCACATTAATATGAGATTAGGATTTCCAAAAGCAGGAGAAAAAAGTTTCACTTTTCTGCAAGTTTACTTCATTTTACAGCATTCAGCAAACCTTAAACCATTGTTTATAAAAGCTAAGATTTTTTTCTCATCTTTGCTCTTCATTCATTTTACAATTAAAATACAGAACAGCTAGGACTGTAACTGACCAAGATGGTTGGGATAGGACCAAAATACTTTCTCTGGAAGTGCTGACTGAGCATTATTGGGAATGAGATTAATGAAACTCTTCTTTTTTGAATCATGCCTCCTTTTACGCCAACCTTCTTTGCAGACCTGAGTCTTGGTCTTTTCTGAGCTCAATGTCAAACGCAAATCAGTTTTGCTCTTCTTATTTTTGTAAAAGCATAGCTCAGAGCTTTAATTTTGCAAAGACAAACACTAATAAAATGAAAACTGCCAGTAGTTAACAGTAATTATAAGTAGCTTCCAACACTACATTAACCTGGTTGTCTCATATGACAAAAGAAAACCTGCATACCTGTTTTAACCTTGCAAGTTCTTTCAAAGCCCTTGTCCATTGTTGTTTGTAGTGGAGCTTTGACTTGGTAGCTGACTCCAACTTTCTTTCAAGTTCAACCTAAAGGCAATTAAAATCATATCAGCTGAAGCAATAATAGCAGTAACAATCACTGAAAGATGTATATATACAAAGGGTCTGGTTTAAGAAAGGTGTTTATGTAGTGTAACATACAACATCGTCTAAAGCTGTTATATAATATAACATAAATATTATGGCACATGAATATTTTCTTGTTTAAAATATAGCCTTATTTTTATTAGATAGCCATCTATACAAAAAGGAAAAGATTAGCTTTTAGCACTAAATCTGCTGATGTAACCTTTAAAATTAAGATTCCCAAATTAGCACACCCCCCCCTTTTTTTTTTCCAAAGTAAGGTTATAAACACTAATTTAACAGAAACACTGATGGATAAATCTTGCCTTTAAAAGGTGTGTTGATTTTTTTTTTCTTTCCTGTAGCTGGTGGAAGATACATGCTACATTCTTTTCTCTGAAACAGACATCTGTTCAAACCATTCTTTAAAATCTATGTATCTAGTGTGACTCTTTGATCTTACTATCTAAATCTTTAAAAAAAAGTTACACTAAAAAGAATTCATTGCATTCTATGCAAAAAAAAATTTAGTATTAAAAGGCAAATGAAAACAGTTATGAAGCACACAGAACACAACCTGAAAAATGAAGCATTTTTAATTAACAACTTTGAGGCAGTGATATTTTCTTTTAATCGTTATCAAAATTATTTACCATTAAAGTTGTGAAGATCTTAAAGCACCAATTTTTTTTTTTTTTTTTTTTTTTACATCTAGCAAAAATAAGAAATCTAACAAAATATTTAAGCTAAGAGTTTAAAAAGTCTCCTATAGAGACAGGAACATTTTGAATAATTTGTTTGCATTATTAGAAGTTATTCCAGCATACAGTAACATGCAGATTGGCCAATAATTGTGAGTGCATTTTGTGCCAAAAAGCCTGGTCCAATTTGTTTCAGCACATTTGGTCAACAATTTGACTCAAACCTCACAATGCCCGTATCTGTGGTTTTAATTAAGCAAAATATCCTCTACTGAAGGCACATATGGTTTCTAAGAAATCAACTTATGACAGTGATTCCATTCCACTGATAAGTAACACAATCTCTTTTCAGAAATACTTAATTAAAAAAAACGATGCACATAGTGGAATACCAGTCTAAATCAATCCTCAGAAGAAAATCTTTATCTTTACTTAGTTCTATAAACAGAATACTCAGAGTCCCCAGCATAAATCATGATGGCAGCAATTTAAATATATAGGTTAGTTTTTTCCCTGCCTTAACCTCTAACACTACTGCTTCCTTTATAGAAATAAGGCCACTGTTGGCCTTATTTGTGTCTGAATATTTAAAGTCTGAAAAAACTGCTGGAAAAAGTAAACCAAAATGGACAAATTAATTAGTTTATCATGCAAGACTATACTACATCTCCCTTATCATTGAATGGACCATTGTGACAGTTCTTAAAAATTAGAAAAATCCAAGATACCTTTTCTAAAGTAAGAAGATTTATTTCCGATTGTAGCTGGATTTCTGGTTTGCTACTTTGCTGTTCTTTGTACTGCTGGAACTCCTTCTCCAAAGTTTTATGCTTATTTTCTGCTTCATAAAGCTACATGAAAGATAGCAAGATATAATGCAAGTTAGCAGAAAAACCCATTCACAGACAAAGAATTAGGTTACAGAACTTAAGTTACTCCTTAGTCCCTGGAACAAACATCAATTATCTGATATAAAACAGACACTAAAAGCTACACATTCATATTTAATGATTTCTTGATGATGGCATACAGCAATGTTTTAATACGAAGAATTTTAAAGAAGATCTTTGCTCAGTACTGGAAAGAAAAAACAAGTCTGTCCTTATATACAGAAGATCAAGATTTATAAACATTGCTGTTCACATTTCTAAAACAACTTGCAGAAGAAACAAAAAAACCTATTTAGATTTACACATATCTTTTAAAGAAAGCCAACAGTGTTATCTACTACATGAAGTTTTATTACTTACTCAATTTCACCAGCATAATTTGTTTAGGAATGTCTGGAAGAGGAAACAACTAATACTTTGTACAGCCAAATAATGATTTAGAAGAAAGGCTGAAGTAGAAAGACTTCAGTGACTAATGACTTAATACTATGTACCTCTGCCCTCACTGTGTACTTCCACAGTTTCATGAAGATATTCTAAAAAGAGAGCTTTCCTTTTCATCTTAAAACGGGTAATTTGAAAAACGATACCAATACACAATTACCTTGCCACAAAGAAACTAAGCAAGTCAAATGTTTAACAGCTTTTTTTCATTATATCACATTAAAAATATTAAGAATTTTTATAAGATGTTTTCTAAGAGTAGCTTACGTTCTTCTGTTAAATATTATTCAACTATAAATACTTTAATACACCTGATGGAACTGATGCATTCCACCACAGAATATGATCCCAAATGCTGTACTTGTATTTATGTCCAGCTAGTTAATGTAAGTATTTCCATGAATTGTTTTCAACAGTTTAGAATGCTGGGTGAAAATGCTTTAGAGAATTAATTTCTGTTTCAAAGCCTACAACTTCTTCTATTAGTACATCAATATTTTAGTTCTTTGGATCTCCTAATTGGGTCACCTCTATTTTTCTTCCAAAATTTCGCTTTTTGTATTTTTTTTTTTTACAGAATTGACCTAAGAAAGCAAAGATGCTTCCTAAGGAGCCATACGAATACGTAGTTCACTGCAGTTACTTTTCACATATAATTCCAATAGCCAACTTTGACAAAAGATACTATTGTTCATCACCTTTCCATTTTTACCGATTTCTTTTTAAAGCAGACATACAGACATGATGCTGATGACAAAGACAGTAACTAATTTCTTCAGCTATGAAAAATGCCAGCTCTCCCTAGAACTTCTACAATACTGTTTAATTTCTTGTTTGGTTCTGAAAACACTTTCAAAAATTGAATTTCTCATGAGACCTCAGGTTGTGGACTGTTAGGAACTGCACAAATCATACAAATAAAGCACAACTTCCTTATTCAGGAAGCAGGAGTGATGTTCTTCCAGGTGTATGCTTCAAGGATCTTCTCTTGCGCATAGCGGGGCTTACCTCCAAACAAGTTAGACATTTAGAAAACTCTACAATTCAGGTGCGAAAATTGTATATTTACACATCTTAAAAGGTAAGGAATAAGTCAAAGCATATGGTTTAGAACCATGATAATTTATTCCAGAACATTTGTGTTAAAAAAACCAAAACGCACAAACAAAAAACCACACCCAAAAAGATGAAAAAAAGAGGCCCATCAGAACTGGTAGCAGCAGAAACTTTCTGCTTGTGCACATCACAAAGGGAACCATCCTACAGTGAGACTCCAAAACAAACAAACAAAAAACCCACCCTACCACCAGCAAAGCAAAACAAAAAAGCTTGTCTTATGCAGAATATGCGGTAACAACCGCCTCATATTGAAGCATGAGAGAGATTCAAAATAGTAGGAACAGCAGAGAAAGACAGCCAGGATGATCAGCTGGAAGGAACGGCCTTCGTACCAAGAAAGACAAAACATAGCGGGGCTTGTGTTTGGAAGAGAGACAGTATGAGAGACACATAAGCAATCAGGAATGGTATGCAGCACAGGCACTAAAGGATGCTTCATAATTATTAAGCAACAAGCTTAAAATGCACAAAAAGAAGTTTTAAAATATACAACACATAATTAAATTTTAGAACTCACTGCCACAGGATGTTGCAATGTTAAAAATAGAAATACTTTTTAAAAGGGATCAGATGAGTTCATGAAGAATACTTTCACTGATGGATAATAAATACGAAATGCTGCCTCTGGCTGAGGGAACATGTAACTCTTGATGGTATTGCTGGATATACCAAAATTGTATTTTCTCATTGTCCCATTTCTTATTTTCTTGCCCTCCAAATCCAACCATTGCTGCACCAGAATGCC